CATTGCTGCAGCCGCTGCCTGCATTGAGCCCAGTCCCTTTGCATCTGGGGGCTGTTCCTGCATGGGCTTCCAGGCCCGGTGGAGATTTCGCCAGGGGAATGGGAAGGAGTTTGCCGTATGATCGGGGGCGTGTTGGCCTGGCTGGTGCAGCCTGGTCCTGGGTAGCTGCCCCACTTCCACATGAGCTGGTCCTGTGTCCACCAGCCTCCTCTCTCCTGCTCCCCCAGTCGGGATGGGTCTCGAGGGCTGCAATGCCAGGCTGCCAGTGGGCCTGGCTGCCAGCACTGGAGACAGGTGGGCACCTTCCTGGAGGGATCAGCCATTCATGCCCTCTCCCCAGCCAGCAGCTTTCACCTAAATGCGCTCCCTAAATCCGGCCACTTGACCATAGGTGGCCCTAAGTTTCCAGAGCGTTGTTACACCGTGACGAGGACATCAAATAGTCCCTAAATCCCAGTCGAGCAGGATTGATATGGGGGGCAGTAGGGAGTAGGCCCCATGATAGCCCCGGGTCTCTTCCCCAGCTCGTGCTGTCTTTTCCCATGCAGTTGTTATGACAGTCGTTTCACCTCTCTTCTTAGTTGCCTCTTTCCCAAGAAGCTCCTTCTCCATCTCTCTCTCTGTCTGTCTGTGGCATGGGAGCTGCAACGAGCCCCTCTTAGAAAGCGCTGACAGCTCGGAAAGGTCGAGGAGATTCTCCCTTGTAATGAGGATGGACCTGATCCGTGCCTGTCTCGCTCAGGCCTGCCGTGCACGGGCAGTCGGGACAGCAGGGCGATGCTCCACCTGCCAAGGACCCCTGAAAGAGCTCTGCATCTGGGCACGGGGGAGCTTGCAAGCGCAGCTCTCCACGGTCTCGGTGATGGAAGGGTCTCGCCGTCCATTGATGGATGCTACATGGAGGCGTCTTTCCCATGGCCCCGTAGGCCAAATGAGTGGTGCCAGGATCGGGACCTGTGCTGCCCAGCATGCTCTGGAAATGAGGCGGAGGGAGACGGCATCACTGCTGTCCCACTGCTAAGTGCCTGGACCCGTGGGCCGGGCTGGGAGCTGGGACTGTGGCGGGCCAGTAGGGGGCGCTCCTGCGTTGAGCCGCCCACCTCCCTGCGCCCGACCACCTTCCAGGCTCCGAGTGCCTCCCTGGGGTGCCTCCCGTCCGGCCGACCCCT